CAAGTTAACGACTTGTTTACTGGGCGTTTTTCTGCCGTTTCCATAACGTTAACGCGACGTTTTTTGTGTTGACCGTTTACTGGAGATTAACTGGCCGTTAACGGGCCGTTTTTTTGGACCTGGGTAGATACGAGCGCTCTATAAAATAAATTAGAAAAGTCGGAGCTGATTTATTCAGTATATGGAGAGAAAAATATTCTGAATCGAACTGTCGATTCAGATTTTCGAGAACTGCGCGCGGGCTGGGGTCCCATATCCAATATGAAATAGCTCCATCTAATGGTATTCACATAAATCGCGTGTTTTAAATAGACAACGTCTTTTCGATAACAACGCCTTTCCAATAACTATCTTAAGACTAATAAATATCTGCTGCTAATTGTTTATTGGTTTTTCAACATATTCCTCTTTCATCGAAGAAGCGTTTAATGCCATACGAAACTCGTAAGATTTTGTGAAATTTCTACTAAACCTTTAATGCTACTAAGCCGCTTCGCCGGTTTCGTTTACTCTGTACAAAACCTTGTAGAAAAATATTTTGTTTTGAGGTTTCATACCGTCTAACAAACCCTTTGAATTTCGAAGTTTTACTACAAAACCATTAAAAGTTTCGAAAAAATACACGAAACCTTAATGGTTTAGTATGGAGCTTTTTTTTTTAGAGAGTAAGCTGTTATAACTACTGTACTACCTTAAAACTATTCCACTTTACTTTAAACCAGTAGAATGTTGCATAAACATGAATGAAATGAAACTGTTATCCATCTGTGTCATATTCTAAATCCTCTTGTATTATGTATTTGTCCATTTCTTCAGCGATCTTATCTGCCGCTTTGAATTTTTCCTCATAATTTTGTGCATGCTGTATAAAACGGGCAATTAATTCTGTGGAACATGCAGCCATGTATGCTTGAGATAATGTCGTAAGATCCGTAAGAGTAAAATTATTATTATTATTATTTCGAATAAAATCTTTGAGCTCGGCCCAGGCTAATTTTATGGGGTTGAGAACACAATGCTTTATCGGTAATCGTAGAATCTCAACTCTGAATTCTTTCGTCGCCTCATCAACTTTGAATTTCTTTTCTGGTGCATAAGCAACTGCTAGCTCGAGTAATTCTGCTTTGGTATACAAGTTCAAATAAGACACCTTATGATAATCTAGTCATTGTACGATCTCTGCCTTTTTTTATGCTCGCTTTGGTAATTTTGTCTCATCTGTCTGCTCATTATACCATGTGGCATTATCAATAATGATGCATATTTTAGCGTCACCTAAAGATAAAACAGTAGTGTAATTCTAGATTCAGTGAAACCTTGCTCAGTTATGTCATTTACCATTATCACCTCTTAATGTACACGAAGTTTCCCAAAGCCATCTAACAAAACGACTTGAATCCATACTGTGCACTTCATTACATTCAAAAATATCAACTGATGGTAAATGAAAATCTGCACTACTTATCATTGCACTTATTGCTATACGTCTTCCTGAATTTGCATAAGACACGATGTTATCGAGAAGAACGCAAACTTCTAACTCGACTACGTACCTCTTCCATCACCTGAACGTATTCTGCCATACCCCGTACTATCTAATCAAATATGTCGCTTCTCCTCACCACTATTCATCCCAGTCTCATCATGCCAATAAATCAGTGTACCGTCTACTCGAAGCTCTTCAAGGTTCCTAAAATAATGTGCCCGCTGAGCGATAAAAAACGTCGAATCTAACGGAACAGTAGCTTTTGACGTTTTGGCATAGATAAATCCAATTTCTTTCATATTTTTTGATAAAGTTGGTCTGCTGTGGATCGGAAAATCAGAAAAATCAGCTCGTAATCGCCCCAATAGTTTCTCCAATGTTGGATATTCCTTCTCAGCGAGTAATAGGTGGAAATGATATATAATCATACCTTGGCCGTATTCTGACAGACGAATTTCATGCCGATCGGAATGAGCTTTTTTCGTTGGAGAATGTGGCATCGGAGTCTCGAGTTGAGATGCAGAAAAACTATCAGTTGTTGTTATCGTCGGTGATGATCGAAGTTTTATTGTAGCTGCGTTGGTCCTTCAGTTCTTTTTTCAAATTGAATATGGTACTGTGTGAAACACCGAGCATCAACTGTAGGCGTTCAGCGACATTATTCAGTGGAATCGATGGACCATCTTTTTCATTAGAAACAAAATTGATTACTCGAAACATTACCTCTTTCACATCTCTAGAAAATTCGTTCCCTTTAGGCATTGTATAGACGAAAAAGTTTTGATAAGTTTAACGCGTTTTTCTTCTTGATGATTTCAACATAAGTGTACGTCTCCCGTATCTTCATTTAATCAGATTTTCTTTGAATTACATTCATACTGCATTCCTTGTTTTCTTTCTGACTTCATTCTCGTACCTTTTTACAGTTTATATCATTTTTTAGAATAAATGTCTATATAATGATAAGAACAAAAATGAAGGACGCTGATTCCGTGCTCAAGAAAGTGAAAATGTTTTTACTTCCCAATTTTCCTGCACTGAGTGTTCTAGTGCTTAGTTCATGATAAAATATGACATAATTGGATAACAGTTTCATTTCATTCATGTTTATGCAACAAGTAGTGTTCATCATTCTTATTCACTTATCCCTTGACTGGAAAGGAATCGTCAATACCAGATTATTTCTATAGAACAAAGTAATTATCTTTCTTGTTCACATTACATTCTGAACATTACTAACAGGCAGCAGCAAGCAGATACTACGACAGTTCTGACAAACATCGTTGTTCTTGCAAGGCAAGAGGTAATTGAGGCACATTCCCAATTCTTAAATTCTTATTTCTGATCATTCTCGTATTATGTCGCTAATAACTTGTGTCTGCACACAAGGGTTAAGTAATGTGTCCATGTGTGTTTTTCGTTTGTCTGCGTCTAAGTTTAGGAAACTATGGGAAACCACTGAAAACTGCTGGGAAACTGAGGGACATTATGGTAAACTGAGCGGAACTGGAAGAGAGCCGAAGAAACGTGCAATCAAATAAAAGGAAACTAGAGATTCTGAAGGGAAACTAAGGAAAACCGAAGCACACTAGGAGAAATCGGTGGGAAACTACTGTAAGCAGCTAAAAGTTTGATAACACAAGAACCATTACGCAACAATTTACACAATGCTTGTCTCGCTGCGCGCCTTCGGCGCTTGCTTCGATGCGCATTCCTTAATGGGACGAACTATCTTCTGACCGAAGCAGTTTTTTCTTAATGAACACTTAGCCTGAGCTGGAGCTATTTTCGCTACACTCCCCACTGGCAAGGAATCGTCAATACCNGTACACTTTTACTCGATAAGACCCTTTCCTTTACAGTCAGAGGAATACCATTTTCATCCTGTCAAGCTGAGATGAAATTTTCGACCAACAGAATCGATCCCAGAGGTCGCTCATAGCCATTTTCTGATTCTTCATAGTCGAATACCTATTTCATACCATTTCATGCTATCAAGTTGAGCTGAGTAAGGCTCGCTAGCCCGCTGATTCTCCCACGAAGTCACAGAACTGTTCAGCTAGTGTTCCACTTTGTATTGTACTATCGGTCGTAGGTAACGCTCGCTTGCAACGTGACTTTCGACCAATAGAATCGATCGTAGAGGTCGCTCCCTTAGAGAACGTTACAGGTTTTCTCTTCGGGAACATAATGCTTTAATTCTACTTTAGACAGGTTAGAACCCTCGCCACTATCTATTTACACGAATACTATACCTATACTTAGGAAAACATGTTTTCTTTGTGGACTTCAGACATAGAATAATATAAGTTCATCAAGTGAATATTAAGCGCAGTAGAG